GGGGAGGAGGAGCTGCCCGGGACGGGCCGTCGCTGCTGCTGCTGCCGCTGCTGCTTCTGCTGCTGCTGCTGCTGCTGCTGCTGGAGCCGGTCAAACTGCACAGCCACTTCCCCCAGGAGCTTCCCTTTCATCTCCCCGCTCCTGGCGCCTGCAAAGCAGCCTCAGTTTGTCTGCAGCGTCTCTCTTCCCCCTGCGCTCCCTCCTCCCCGCCCCGCTCAATGAGAGCCCCAGGACGGGGCGCCCGGAGCCCGCCCCGGCTCACGGGGCTGCGGCTGCTGCAGGAGGGCGGGGGACAGCCACGGGGGGCTGCCGGCTCTCTGGGCCTCCCTGGGACCCGGCCGTGCCCCCTGCAGACGAGGGGCTGTCCCCAGAGCCGGCCCGGTCCCACCGAGCCCCGATGGCCAAACCCCGGGGACCGCCCGGCCCTGGCCTGGGGTCTCAGCGGGGACACGAAGGGGAAAAACCCCGGACTCACGTCGTTCCCTCGGGCTGGGAGAATTCCCTCCTACTCTGAGGCTGGGCGGCAGCTCTAGGATCCTGGATAAGGAGGGGGCAAAGCCATAATTCCTAGAAATTTCTCTCTCCAAAGCCCGTCTCTGCGAGGTTTCCGTGAGGACTTTCACTCCCTTCATCCTCGGATGTTTAACTGACAGCAGGAGGATGAAGGAGGGGAGGGGTGAGAGAGGAGAGAAATCTCTAAGTTCAGACTTCAGACAGAAAATGTTTCCATTTCACGATGGATTGAGGCTGAAGAGGGCAAACACCACGAGCAAACCCTGCCGTGCTTCGCTATCCCAGGAACCCCTGTGGCACCCAAAATTCAGCCAGACCAGGCTGCATGAGCAGCCTCACAGCACCGACAGCGGCTTGTCCCTCGGTCCCCTTTTTCCCTCTCCAGGACCGGAGCTTGCCCACCCGGGCATCCCTGGGGATTGAAGCTGCAGCCCCTGGACGTGCTCGGTGTCACCATGACCCCGAGCTGTGGCTCCCCGGGCGCCCTTCCAGCGCCCATTGACTTTGGGGGCGCGGTGTAATTATCTGCGGCATTTTCAGCAGCCCCACAATGGCTTTCCACGGGCGGTGCATTGTTCCTGACACACCGCCATTGTTCCTGCGTGTCCATCAATTCTCATTTACTTGTCACGGTGCAGGAAGCATGGAGAAGGGAAAGGAAGGGAAAGGAGGGGGGAGAAGAGGGACGAGCTCAACCCCAGCAGAGCCTTGCGAGGCCGGGGCTGCCCCGCTGCTGCCTCTGAGTGTCCCCCAGCAAAGAGATGGATTCTGTGGGGCAGGAGAAGTGACAAACTGGGGGTAGCAAGAGCAGCTGGGAGACATCAGCGTGTGGCATTATTTTCATGCTCGGAGAAAAGCCCAAATTTGGGCTCTGCCGGCTGAAATGTTGCAGCCAGGCCGGCTGGACCGAGGCAGAGGAAAGCATCTCTCGGCAGATCTTTAATCCTTAACCCGTCGAGGTGTGCAGTAACACTGCCAGCAATCAGTAATGAGTGTGCAAACCCTGCCATTAGTGGCACCGATGAGTGGGGTTTTGTAACACGGCTTCTCGTACACGTCCTCCCTCCCACGCTCCTTCCCACGAGGCAATCCCTGCCCCGCTCCCCATTTGCTCTCCCCGGCACAAGGTGAGATGCTGTCGAGATTCGGTGGCTGAGCGGTGGGGAGGGATGGCCAGGGTTGGAGGGGGTCCCTGGGCCCAGCACTCCCCACAGCCCCATCCTCCAGATGGGAAGTCACAACTCGCAGGGCTGGGGACTTCCAAGATTGCTCCGTGAGCTGGCAGGGAAATCGGGAGTCCAGCTGGAGCAAAAGATGAGCTGATTAAACCCTGCATGTTTCATGGAACAAATATATCCAAACTTCTGTGGAGCAAGACCGAGCCCACAGCTTTGAGCCGCCCCTGAATTCAGGGCTTGGGGAGAGAAGCTGTCCCTGTCGTCTTTTATTATTTTTAAATGTCTTTAAAAATGACCCTCATTTATAAATTATAACACCAAAACACCAAACCCTGGACATTAAAAAACAAAAGGAAAAAAAAAAAAACCAAAACCAAAAACTAAACACCTGAGAAAGTTGTGGGCACAGCATGAAATAACGCCCGGCGCAAGATTAAAATAATTATGAAAAGAACAATATGTATTCGCTTTTATCCACATTGTAATTATGAAAGCTTTTTAAAGGATACTCTTTATTCATACCACTGGTAGGAAGTCAAAAAGTGAAAGAATCGCTTTCATAGTACTGGTTTGATATGACTTTTAATTAAGGGCTGCGTGCTCCTAATTTATTAAAGCTCATATTTTCATCACGTGTGTAATTGTCGCTGGAAAATAATAATAATAATTACAGATCTAACCTCTGCAGAGTGGTTTTGCCCGACTTGGGTCCTGCTGCCGTGGAAACGCAAACAAGGAAAAAAAAAAAATTGGCTGAAAAAACAGCGGCGCCCGCGTTTCTCAGAGGGTCCCGGTCCTGTCTCCTTCATCCCGAATCCCGCATCCTTCATCCCGAATCCTTCATCCCGCATCCTTCATCCCGAATCCCGCACCCCTCATCCCGCATCCCGCATCCCGCATCCCGCATCCCGCGTCCCGCATC